CAATTTGTTTAATGTATTTGCACATTAAAAGAGTATAATATCAGGACACCAAATGAATATATTTCCACTGGTGAAATTTTGTTTGTTTGTGTGTTTTAGCCCAGAAAGAACTATTTTAATAATCACATATTGGTCAGAATATCAGTCATGCAGGAAGTAGCTAGGCACTTTTTGCTCCTCTTGACTGCACACTGCATTGTTATCTTACTATTTAACAATACTAGAGTACAAGGAAAGGAGCAAAAAGGACCTGAATTGAACATTGATCATCTGTTCATTAGACTGAGATAGGGAAGGAAGTAGAAATGCAGGATGAAAATAAGGTTTCCTTGAGCTGTCTAGAAATTTAATTTATCTGTGAGAATATTCTCGACATTGGCACATATGAGAGATTGTACTTCATTTTATGGCCGGTGTATACCAAAAATAAAACATTTATTAGCAATGTTCCAAAAATACCCATTGAGCAGAAATTCAAAATGGTCATCGTGTGTGTGTTCATGTGTATGTGTGTAAGAAAGAGAAAGAGAGACTATGAATGAGTATGAACATTCATCCAATTGTACAGAGATACTTTTGGCCTGCTGCTCAATGGAAAACCAGAAAGATCATGCTGCGGCAGTGAAATCCAGGGTGATTATATCCCTTCTAAGGTGGTTAAAGTCATTCAGCATATCTTATTGCTTGATTAATTTAAAGAAACAAGCTTGGTCTTTAATCAAGAGATATTTACCTAGTGATTGATTTGTTTTCACTTGTCAATATCTCTTCTCTTTTATATATATTTGTGTGTGTCTTTTCACACCAATCAGAGGTACTTCTTTTTCCCTAAGAAAAATGGACTCATCTTTCCTGCCAAACTTTTAGCCTTTTATCTATTTAAAGTTCATTTCATTTGGCCTGTTGTGCTTGGGAATAACCTACATATACTGATTGGATTTGGGAAGAAAATTCACGCTAAAACCTTGCATGAAGAGGGGTGAATTACAACTATATTCTTAGATACAAGGCAAAAACCTTGACTACCTCTCCACCTGTAGACATCGCCCAATTTCCCCTACAGCCAGAGGAAGTCTGGCATATGGCTGATGAGACTGAGGTACCTTGTAGAACTTCACAACTTGAGCTGAAGTCTCTAAGAACTCCCTTGGGAATCCCTTCTGCTCCCAGGAAGCAGAGTCAGAAATCCTTTCCACGCCCTTTTGCTTCAACATCAAGTTATTTATAGAAATCCTGAACACACACAGACACACACACCCTAAATAGTTACTGTCCTGTAGCTGAAATCTTCACCCTACCTCAACCCAGCCCTCTCCTAATGGCTAAAATGTATGCGTCTTTTAAGAGAGCTCAGATGTTCCCTCCTCCCCTAAGCCTCGTTTTCCAGCTAGGCTGGATTAGGTAGCCCTCCTCAGCATCCCCATAACACTCTGTATCTTGAGTTTGCTCACTGTTTCACAAGGACATATCTAAGTGTGTGTGTGTGTGTGTGTGTGTGAGTGTGTGTGTGCGTGTGTGTGTGTCCCTCTCTATACTGAGGACTGTGCAGATTTAAGTCATGTGTAGCTCTTTCATTCCTAGCATCTCGTCCACTCCCTGCAAAATAGTAGTTGCACAATAAAAATACATTAACTGATTTTTCATATGATTACATTTAATTTTTGCCTTTTTAATCTCTGTACTTCATACAGAGTTTGACATATAGGAGGTACTTAAAAATATTTGTCAAATTAATAAATGAGTTAATTTTGTTTTGACGTAAACCTGCTTTGCAATGTCTTGTTCAAATTTCCTTGTGGTTTTAATGAAATCTCCTTAAGACTCTTCAATTTCTGTATAGTAGGAAGATACCCTAATTCAAATTTCATACACTATGGAATAGTCACAGCATAGGATTTGGAGAAAAAACGTTTATCAAGGGTCCAGATGAAATCCTCAGAGAAAGGGCAAAACATAACTTAATGGATTATCTGCTGCATTCTAGAGCCAGGGTCATGAATTGAGGTCTTAGCTCCATCTTAAACATCCTGTCTTGGACAATGGAGTCACCCAGCCTTTTTGCCTCTCAGTGCCCTCATTTATATACTGAAAAAAGACATAGTTTTATTTTATTTTATTTTATTTTTTTACTGAAATTAAAATCTTACTTACTTTATTTTTTTGACATTGAGCCAGAGAAATCTCTGGCATACATAATTTTTTTTATTACAATTTATCAATATACAATATGGTCGATTTTCGTGTCCCTTTACCAATTCCTCCTATTCCTCCCTCCCACTCCCCCCTCTCCCCCATCAATATCGTATCTGCTCACTTGTCTTTTAAATCTACACTAAGTTTTGACAGCAAATAGGATACTACTTAATGAATTAAACAGCATCTTTGAAATTCATTAAAAAAATAAAATCAGACAAACTCTGGATAGGAAGAGGTGTCTGAAAAGAGATGGTTGCACTTTACAAAACACATAGAATGTATGCTCAGAGCATCATGCCATGCACATAGCAGGTGCTCAGTGAAAATTTACTGGATGAAAGAAACAAAACAATCAATAAGCACTTACAGTTAAACTGAAAAGCATCAACCTCTGCTGCTGTTGAAAATCACCCAAGACTCCCGCATTTGCAGGTTCCTCCAGCAGTCACAGTTCCACTTTGTGTTGCTGGAGCCAGGGCCAAGCATCTCCCATAGGTGAACCCACTCTATTACTAGTGCTCATCCAGGCTCACGTCCGTTCAGGGAAATGCTCCCACTACATACTCATGACTGCTAACCACACAATTCATAGTTTTTTAGGAGCTGTGATATATCACATTGATACACACTTTTTTGTCAAGCCAGAGAGGTTATAAATTCATTTCTAAAAGGTATTTGGGTTATATAAAATTCTCAGAAATTTAAGATCACCATTCTGTGTAGCAGTTGAGTCTTCCCTGGAGTAGTGTTATACATTTTTCAACTACATTCGTATCTATAATCTTCTTAGCATGCATGTAGGAATGAGGAGGAAATAAAAATATATAAATTGTATCATCAACTTAATTTTCTCTTTAGTATACTGTATATCTGCATATGGAATGAAGACCCTGGAAAGCCCACACTATTCCCACAATTACTTATTGGAAAAAATGCTCATACTTTGTAACAAAAGGAATGGTAAATGAAGTTTATGTATCATTGGAGCAGATAATTTTACAAGTCTATGTTCTTAGGGCTTCAGAATTAAGGATTTGACTGTGGGAGCAGAGAGTCTAAGGGGCAGGACACCCCAGATAACCTCACCCACATGCATTTCTCAAACAATGCTTTTCTGTATGTAAACAGAAAATAGAAAGGAGTATATGATTTTTTGTCTTTAGTATTAAATAGCTGGCTTTTCTTCAGTGCACTCTTAAATTTCTGCACAATGCACAGCCTTCAGCACCCCAAGGAGCATAAACAAAGGATATCAGGCAAGTTCACCTACTCCCACTTCACAGAACAATGCTTGTTGTTAACTAAGCAATTCCCAGTGATTTGTGGAGCCCAGAGTAAGTACTCAGGTTGGGTCCTTGGAATCTGGGGTCAGAAGCACGTGGTGCCATTCAATCCCCAGGGCTTTCAGAAAACACGAAAATGTGACCTGAAGTTTGTGCTGGCATGTACACCAGAGACCATTTAGGCATTTAGAGAAATTAAAGCACATTACGGCCTCAAAACAGCTCATTGTTTGTGCTCCAAGATTTAACCTCTTCTTTCTTACTTGCTGCTATGTTTTTCTTCTGGTGAATAAATGTCGACTGAATCAAATGAGATGAATTGAATGTATACATAATACACCTCATGTATAAAAAAATACTGATGGTGCAACAAATTATATAGATAGGTGAATGTGAAAATTTGAAAAATCCTTTTTAATTTTCTAAACAGAATTATGACTCTGATCCTTTTTGTGTATACTTAGACTCAGGGCTTTTATAAATAAGACAGAATTTGTAATCTGTGTACTTATCTTATTCCAAAACTTTCTATGAGGATTGTAGGTCCAGTCAGAACTATAAGCACTTTAAAAGTTAAATGCAAACAAGTATATGAAAAGACTTCTTTACTCCTGCCTTTTTCAGGGAATGTTTTGGCTACAGTTATACCCCATAGGATTAGTTTCTCCCCTTTGTTGTCTGGCTCAAGTATAAAGTAAAACAGGCTACCATTTCCATTTTTATGAGTGTGACTATTATCAAGTTGTTAAAACTATGAAATAATTAAATTTTATCACTACCCTTTTACTCTTTAATAATCACCTATTAACTATTAGAATTGAGCCAGAAAAGAGAAATATATAGAGAGACAATGTTTGCAAAATATTAGTCATTTGGAAATATCGGAATACATTACTTAACTATTCAATAGTATGGGTAGTTAGTATAACATAAATACAGCCATATGGCTCAGAATGAATGAAATTGTTGATGGGACACTGAAGGTGTTGGGTTCTTTCACATATCATAGACAATTCAAGTGCTAGCCTATTATTAAAACTGACTTAACATGAAGCTAAATGGCTAGCCCATGGTCTCTAAACAATTATTAAATTTCTACATTATTCAGTAAAATTGTGTTCTACCAAGTTTGCAGTGAGGTTCTGATGTTTAAAAGTTCCTTAAATAGACTTTAAAATAAATAATGGAGTTTGCGAAGGGGGAACTACAAGGAAAAAAAATAATTTATAAAGAAGAAAAACCAATACTATAGGCACAATATATTCACAAAAACATTTGTAAAATTACAAGGCTGTATTTAAAAAAATAATAATGAAGTTAGGGAGTTCTGGGTTAGATGACAGAGGCTGATAAAATCCAATCTTCAATTCTGGCATGAATGGAAAAAAACAAATGCCTCATCTACTGAGTTTCTCCTTGTCTGTTATCTAGAGAGGAAATGCCTGCGAAACACCTACCAGAGGAAACTCATTGAAAAAGTAGATTAATGAGAATAAAACAACAAAAAGAATAGTTCCCTACCCATTGCTTCCCACTGACTGAACTTTTGACATATCAGCAAACTCTTCTTTCCTCTTGCTGCTGCTGGTGTACTGCTCACTGTACAGCTTGAGGGACATCTGCTCAACAGCATCTCTTTGTGCTTCCAGGTAGCATAGTTGAACCTCAGCCTGGAGAGAGAAACAAAGAGGAATTGCTGTTTTAATCCAGAAGGAATGCATTTCAAGTGAGGTGTAACAACTCAAAGAATGGGAATTGTGCACATCATTCTACTGCTCCTTTCCGAGCTGGATTTAATGGGATCAGCTGGGCATATTAAAGAATTATATTTTAGATCTGAATCTTATAAATTCTTCCTTAAAATATGACCTGAATAAATGAACTCTCAGAAGACTCAGTAAATATCACAAAATATCCCTGAGATCATAAGACTGTATGATGAGACCCTACATTAAAGTTCTGTGAAATTCCTTAATAATATTCTTCCTCAAACTGTCACACATGTAACACTTATTTTTTAAAGATTCCCCTCCAACCCACACATTTGCATGGACACATATTCTGAATGCTTCTCTGTTATCTTCCCCAAGGAGAATAAAAAAGCCTAGCATTAACTCTAGTACCTCTTCAATAGTGACAATAGACTTCTTTTATTACATTTTTTTGGTTCTCTGTATTATCTTAATAATTTTAAAGTAGAGGGAATGGTAATCTTGCTTGCATGCAGGTTTGAGTTTTTAAATCTTTCATAGTTACTCGGTGCTCACTGTAGTAAAGGAGAGGTAGTAAGTTCACCATGCTGTTTTCTATCAAACCAAGGCCAAAAGAATGTTGAATAATATTTGGCATGGAAATGTATTGAATAGATGCTTTATTTATTGCAGCTGTTGTGATCCCTGTGGCTTTAGAGTTCCCTGCAACACCAGATGAGTCTGAGAATGAAGTCTTCTCAGGGGCAGGCTCGCCCACGGTGAAGGGAAAGAGCAATGCTGAGTTCATGTACGTTGTGGACCAAAGAAAGGACTCTTATATTCCTTTAATGCACTTCACTAAATCCAATCACATCCAGTAACACTTCTGATAAACCTTAAAACTGCTACTTTACTATTTTATTACATATTCTCCTAAGAAAAACAGTTCCAGGTCAGCTGTTGGGTAGTCATCAGATTTCTATAACATTGTAAGAAAAGTCAAGTCAGACACAACCTTCTACTCTTAGCATCCAGAGCCAACCAGGGCCTTTTGCCTGGATCTAGTTTTACAGACTCGACTATAGAGAAATAAGAGAGTTAGAAAGTGGCAGCTGCTTAACAGGCCAAATTAGAACTGTGTAAAAGAAATGGGAATCTTATGAAAATAAGGTCTCGAACCATTCTAGAATTCCTATGTTATTGCTTTTCATAAGCAGCTCATCATAAATGCTTTAGAGCGTTGAGGAAGAACTTAAAGAAACAATGTTAAAATTACTATAGCTATATAATTAAAGTTTCAGAAATCAGTTCAAAACTACAGTCTATGTACTGGTTCATGTGAACTTTTCTTGCCCAAACTAATTGGTTTGAATAAGAATAGACCACCGGATTAAGAATTAAGTCAAACACTATAGACAAAGAATAATGTTATGTAGAACACATTCAGTTAGGGGTAGGAGGTGTTGCTGGTGGGAAGGCACAAAGGAAATGGTAGATCTGGTGTTATTTAGCATTTTATTAAAGATGTGTAAGAGGAGGGATGCAGAATGTGATGGCATGTGTAGAAGAATGCCAACTAAGAGGTTTGCAAACATCGTGGAACCTGGAGGAATAACACCTACTGACGTAAGAATTTTTTTTTTTAGAAAGGATAAGACTGAATATAGAGAGGCAATGAACAGAAAAGCAACAGAATGCATCTTTTAAAAGAACATACAAATTCTTACATTATAAATGAGATAACAAAGATATAGAATAATAGTCAAAGAACTTAAAAACCAAATGCCATCCTCTTCTTTCCACCTCAAAGCTATAGGGATTAAAGAGTAGCTCATCCTGCTCTAAGTATTCCACTGGAAACCCCATTAGAATAACATATGTGCACCATTAGGTGCCCAGGGGCATGTTTGATATCTAGAGGTTCCCGTTAGTTTTTAACCATCCTAAGTAACAAATTGGACCACAGTTCGTGCTAGGTCATGATCTCACAAATGTGTGCCACTGGTCACAAAAAGGATCATAAAGAGGGAAGTTGACTTAATATAGACTCATCACCACTACGGAAAAATAATCAGCATTCATCTCTCTGTGATCCTTGGCTACTTCTGTGTACAAAGAGAAACACTTACACAACAGGGGTGCATGAAAAGAAATTTGGAGAACAAAGCTGAGAACAACTGAAAAGATAATTAGTCGCCTTACAAAATGATTGAAATGTTGTAATCTAAGACTTTTATTGCACAATATCTCACAGGCATTTGACATAGGAAACTTCCCTTCAGTAACAAGGAGATGAATTAGATGGCCCAGGTCTTTCCTATCCATCTCTATTTCTATCTCTGCTTTCAGTGATTCATTCCTCAACATGATGATAAAAATAGAACCAAAGTAGTTCCTTCTGCTAAGGTTGAATGGCTCTGCCAGTCTAAGTCTCTCTGAAGACTGTCTTAATTTTTTCTCATGAGATCTTAGTCTAAGAATAAGTTTTTAGGAGAAAGATTTGAAAAAATATATAGTTCTTAAAAATCACTAACACAATCTCTGGTTAAAAGAGTTTTATTTGCATCTATGGTAACAGTGGATACTCTTAAAGTGACTATATTTTACAAATGAAAAATAGCCTGATTAAGTAACATTAAAGATGTGTAATCAACAGAATTTGGCAACTTACTTATTAAAGAAAAAAAAAAGGGAAGAAGACTCAGTGATGGATCCACCTCTTCATTTCTACATCACTGACAGGCCCGCAGTGCCATCGATAAGAGTAAGAAGGAAAAAAGAGCAATATGGGTGGATGGAAGAAATGAGCTGGATTTATCTGAGTCTTTTAGTTTGAGGTATTGGTGGGACACTCCGAATGAGATGTTCAGCAAGCAGGTGGAAGTATTAGAACTGAAATACCAACCTAGAGGCAATGGTTGACATGATGAGATGAAATGTGAATGCCATGAGAGAGAGGAGACAGTGAGAACAGAAGAAGGATCAGTTGTCACTCTAGTCTAGGCCTGCATCACCACTGGCTGACCCAATGCAACAGATTCTCAATCCTTCTCCCACCCTCCCTCCATCTCCACCACCCCCAAATTCATTTTTTATATTGTCCATTGATTGATCTTTTTGAATCACAGCTGAGGTCACTGGTGTGCTCTAGGCTTCACTCTGGCTCTCTTTTCTTTATACTCCCTTCCATGGTTTTAAATGCCATCTGCATAGTAACACCTTCAATCCTCTCCTCTGGGCTCCACACTTACATATCCAACCCATCGCCTGGCATCGCTACTTGGATTACTTTAAGCCTTATGGTTCTCATCCTTACCATATCACCCAAACCTTTCTGTAATTTGGCCCTTCTTTTAAAATAAATGGCATCATCTATTACTCTAAGGTCAGAAACCTAAGAGTCTTTCTTGACTCTCCTCTGCTTCATTTCCCACAGTAAGTTACTCCCTAAGTTGTTGACTCTTCTTCCAAAATGTCTCTCCAATCTGTCCCTCCGGGCTGCACTGCTGCTGGCCTCACTCAAGCCTGCATCATTGCTCACCTGCAGTACAGAAATTATCTTCTAATATGTATCTTCCCTCCCTCATTCCTACCCCTCCAATCTCTTCCCTTCCCAGTGGCCAGAATGGTCTTTATCCAACATGAGCTGGTTTTGTGCTACATTCAGACCCAAAAAACAAACTTCTCCCCGTGGCCACGAGATTTGGCTTCTGCCCACCTCAGACCTAATTTCCCACTAGTCTCCTCTTGATCACCATGCCCTGTTATCTTGCCATCTCTCAATTCCAGTTCTATAAACAGTTCTTTCTAGCCTCAGGACACCTGCATATATATTGCTCCCTTTCTCTGGAATATTCTCTTGTTAATGTCTTCTCATCCCCAGCTCTCAGCTGGCTTGTTACTTCTCAGAGAGTTCTTCCCTGACCACCTTATCAAAAGTAGATCCACTTTATTTTCTTCTATTTCAGAACTAGGTTTTCTTCATAGCACATGTCACAATTTAAAATTCTTACATTTGCTGGTTTATATTTTTTCTATTTCTATCTCCAGACTCCAAGCTTCATAAGAGATTGTGTCTGTCTCCCTTGCCATTTTGCACCTTGGCAGTATCTGGAACATGATAGGAGCTCAGTAAATATTTGTTGAATGAATGAATTGTATGTTCATGCAGCCATCCATTTATCACTCATATGTTCTCTGAGACTTTATCATGTCTCAGGAACTACACTAGAAATGGTGGGTACATAGAAGAATACAACATAGTCCCTTCTCCTGAGGGAGTACAGTGTGTAGAGGACAGAGCCATGCCAACAGGTAGCTACATGTGTGTCAAGTGAAAAGACCATGGGAAGGACGGGAAATAAAACAACTAATTACATGAAGGCAGGGGGTGGGCAGTGAAGGCTTGATAGAACTGGCATTTGAGCCAGCGCTGAGATAATAGGGATGGCTTTAGCAGTGAAGAAAATGATAGATAGCTTTATAGGCAGAATAACTCATTTGTTCAGGGACCCAGCATCGAGAAACAACGTAGCATGTTCAGAGAACGGTGGCTGGAGCTTCAGGGCTTTTGGATGAAGAGGCTAAAGTGGAAGGAGACAGACTGTGGAGGAGGTCAGGCTAGGAAATTTGGATACTATTCTGGTACAGTGATGTGCCACCAGAAGTTGCCATTGTTTCTGTGATGGCCTTAATCTTCCTCCATTTCTCTTTTTCTGTCATAACAAGATAATCATCTGCTGAATTAGGGCAAACATGCTCGCATAGCTCCCGTGACTGATGTACTTTGAGAACACTGCATTGAGAAGGGAATCAGCAGTTTGCACCAGGCTGGAAGCCCAGCATCCCAAACACTGGGAATGCCTAAGAAATTCCAGTAACTAGTACCTCTAGTAAATGTTTAACATAATATTATGGTCTGAATTGTGTCCTCTCACCTCCAAATCCATAGATTGAAGGCCTAACTCCCACTGTGAATA